CTTTAACTTTGTATTTTTAACATTTATGTCAAAAAAAATGAGTTTTTAGCCCAAAGTATGTATTGTTAAGCCACTTAGCTATTTTTCTTGGTATACTTTGTATGTAGTAGTATATTTCATGCTAGTATAAGATATATCTCGGTTTTTAGCAATTCATAACTAGATCTAGCATCAAAATCATACAAAACATACATATAAGCATAGAAATCAACCAAAACATACACATAATGATGGATCTACACCTTTACTTGTATTCTCCCCCACAAAAACTTATAAAAACCGAAAATAAGGGGTATGAAGCTCACCTTGATGAGTTGTAGTTTCGGTTTTGAAGAGAGAAAAGAAGAAAATTTCGATCCTAGCAAGTCTCCTTGGTAGATCTCGAGTTTAGTGACTTCTAAGGTGCATGATCACAAGTTGGAATAGATTTAGAAGAGATTTTTGATGAAATGAAGTAGCTAGATCATGGATTAGTCATCAACTTACCTTAGATGATGTGTTTGTGGGAAAAACCTCCTTGAAAAGCTCTTGATTCTCGAAATTTTTGAAGAAGGAGGAAGGAGATGTCCTTCAAGACTTAGAGAGAATGAAATGAATTTTTGTGAGTGTGTGTGTGTTGTGTTCGGCCGAGAGCAAGAAGAGAGAGGAGAGGAGTGTGGTTCTTGAATTGATTTGCATGAAAACATGAGATGGTGCATGGGAGTCCTATGGATAATTATGAGGTGGCATAGGAAAGTCAACTCTCTTTCTTTGGTTGGGCTTGGGCCGAGATTTGGAGAGAAAAAGATGAGTATTGGGCCTTGTATGCTTAAGCCCATTTCATGGTTATGTTAAGTGATGTTTGGCCCCAATTAATTATAAATGTGATTTTTATGAGCTATTAAGGCTAAATTAGGTTAATTATGGTCCAAAATAGTTCATAATATTTGATTTATTTCATTCTAGGCCCAATATGGCCCAATATGTTGAAATAAATGAAAGTGGGTCCAATTAGAGCCCATTTAAGAGTTCTAAACCCAAGATAGTCAAATTGGAAGTTTATTGGTCCATTAGGCCCAATAAGGAAGTTCTAGTCCAAAATGGACCTAAATAAGAACTTCTAGGGTTTCCAATTGCTTGTTGACTATTTGTAATGCTTGTATGGTGTATTTGATTGCAATTTTGTTGTCACAGAGTAAGCATCATACATGCCCTTATGTTTTTGGATTCATAATCCGACTTAAGTGTTGTAGTTACAAGGCACAAAATTTCTAGTTGTGACATCATCCCCCGTTAGAGGGAATTTCGTCCCGAAATTCTGTTTGAAAGCTAGATTTGAGAATGCTAGAATAGGTGAGGGTACTTTTGCTTCATTTGATCTTCGCGTTCCCAAGTGAATTCTGGCCCACGCTTTGCGTTCCACCGTACCTTCACGATCGGGATGCGGCTCTGTTTAGTACGCTTTACCTCCCTGTCCATGATTTCGATTGGTTCTTCGACGAACAGGAGATTCTCATTGATTTCGATTTCATCAAGAGGAATGACAAGGGTTTCGTCTGATAGGCACTTCTTTAGGTTAGAGACATGAAACACGGGGTGTACACCGTTTAGCTCTGCGGGTAGTTGCAGTCTGTATGCTACTGGACCAATTCGGGCGACGATTTCGAAAGGTCCAATGTATCGTGGATTTAGTTTTCCCCGCTTCCCAAAACGAATGACTCCTTTCCAGGGCGAGACTTTTAACAGTACTCGATCACCGACCTGAAATTCTAAGGGCTTTCGGCGTTTATCAGCGTAGCTCTTTTGTCGGTCACGCGATGCTTGCAATCGAGCTCTGATTTGAACGATCTTTTCCGTGGTTTCACGGATGATCTCCGGTCCCGTTAGTGCTTTGTCCGACGTGTGTGTTTTTGCTAGCTGGGTGTCACCTACTTCAGCCCAACATAACGGTGATCTACATTTACGCCCGTACAGTGCTTCGAAAGGAGCCACCTTGATGCTCGAATGGTAACTATTGTTGTATGAGAACTCGATTAAGGGTAGGTGGGTATCCCAAGACTTTCCAAAGTCTATCACGCATGCGCGGAGCATATCTTCGAGCGTTTGGATGGTTCGCTCGCTTTGACCATCCGTTTGTGGATGATAAGCGGTGCTCATATCGAGGTTTGTTCCCATCGCCTTATGGAGTGATTGCCAAAATCGGGACGTGAACCTACTGTCCCTATCCGAGATGATAGATGTTGGTATTCCGTGGAGTCTCACGATCTCTCGAATGTATAAACGCGTCAATCTCTCCATCTTGTACGATTCTTTAATTGGCAGGAAATGGGCAGATTTCGTCAGTCGGTCAATTATTACCCATATGGTGTCTAATCCATCCGACGTTTTGGGTAGCTTGGTCACGAAATCCATAGAAATCCCTTCCCATTTCCACTCAGGGATTGCCGGTTGCTGTAACAATCCTGAGGGTTTTTGGTATTCCACCTTTACTTTGGCGCACGTAAGGCACTTACTGACGTAGGTCGCGATTTCCGCCTTCATGTTAGGCCACCAATAGTGTTGTTTAATATCCAAATACATCTTATCGGAACCGGGATGAATGGAGTATCGCGTCTTGTGGGCTTCCTTCATGACAACATCTCTAAACCCTCCAAATTTAGGGACCCAAATACGGTTCATGAAATAGTATACTCCATTCTCCTTTGCCTCCAGGTTCTTTTCCATTCCGCGCAATACTTCGCTTGCTCTATTTTCCGTCTTCATGGCCTCTGACTGGGCTACTGCAATTTGAGTGGCCAGGTGCGATTGAATGGTTATCGAGAGAGTTTTCGTACAACGATTAGAGTACTCCTTCCGACTTAAGGCATCAGCTACCACGTTGGCCTTGCCTGGGTGGTACTTAATCTCACACTCATAATCGTTTAGCAATTCAACCCATCTTCGTTGCCTCATGTTCAACTCCTTTTGGTTTAAGATGTGTTGGAGACTCTTGTGATCCGTGAAGACGGTGCACTTTGTACCGTAAAGGTAATGCCTCCAAATCTTTAGGGCAAAGACTACAGCTCCCAACTCTAGGTCATGGGTCGTGTAGTTTACTTCATGCGTCTTTAGCTGGCGGGATGCGTAGGCTATCACTCTCCCACGTTGCATGAGAACGCAACCTAAGCCCTGATTTGACGCGTCGCAGTAGACTACAAAATCTTCCGTTCCTTCAGGCAGAGATAGTACAGGTGCGCTACAGAGAGCTTGTTTCAAGGTTCGAAACGCAATCTCTTGTTTGTCTGTCCATTTGAATGGTACGCCCTTTTGCGTAAGCGAGGTAAGTGGCTTGGCGATCTTAGAGAAGTTTTGAATGAATCTCCTATAGTAGCCTGCTAATCCCAAGAATTGACGAATTTCTGTGGGCGTTGTCGGGATTGCCCATCCTTCTACAGCTTTGACCTTAGAGGGATCCACATGGATTCCATCTTGGCTGACTACATGACCTAGGAAGTTCACACTTCGCAGCCAGAACTCACACTTAGAGAGTTTGGCGTAAAGTTTTTCTGATCGCAGAGTTTCTAAGACTTGTCGGAGATGTTGGCCATGCTCTTCCTTGCTTCGAGAATAGACGAGGATGTCATCGATAAAAACAATGACAAAGTTGTCGAGGAACGGTCGGCAGATTCGATTCATTAGGTCCATAAATGCGGCAGGGGCATTCGTTAGACCGAAGGGCATTACGACAAATTCATAATGTCCGTAGCGAGTTCGGAAAGCGGTTTTTGGAATATCCTCT